TTTAACTTTCTATTATGTTACAAAACATGTTATTTGGCCGATGCTTTTATCGATTTGATGGTTAAAATCTTGGAAATTTGAATGTTTTGAGTTTAAAGCTCTTTTTAAAATCTGTCTAATAGCATGTTGAGTATTGAGTCAAATTGGTAATTGAAACTACCCCTCGAGTCCGATCAACTCGTTGATTGTTTGGGATGATAAGGCATAGTCTTCCACCTTTGTGCTTTGCATTCACTTGAAAGTATACCAATATTTTGGGATAACTAGCTAACCTCGAACTAGAACTCGAATGGGCTAGGCCGAGGGATCGAGACGACGGGTTCACCTTTGGGTGATTCTGAGGTACCCGTCACTCACGATAAGAAGGTCTTTAGACCGTCATTCGTGATGGAATGATGGATTGCATACAGTCCCTTCTCAGTAAGTTATATTGGAGATGAGAGGGTTCGGTTGTTGGGCGTCCCTCGCAAACTAATAAATAAGTTGACTTACGTGTACTTTGGGTTTCGAACCCTTAAGTACCTATTGTGGAGCTTTTCTTGAGGGTTGTGACCTTATGTTTGTTATGTGTAATTATGTGACGTATCATACGAAGTAATAAGGTTGGAAACTGGGTCAATCCGGCCTTAATTAAGTCCTAGTGGAGTTTTCTTTGTAATGTGTTCGTCACGATTACTTGAGAATAAAATGGAGACATAAAGAATGCGCTAAAAGACTGTGTGTGTGAGTTATCTTTATGTGATATGTGACATTTCATTCAAATTATCTTCTTCAAATGATTTTGTGGCATTTACACGTGAATCATGACTTATATATACCGTATTAATTTATCTTTGATTAACTACGCTTACTCAACGGTTGTGTTGACCCTCTTTCTACAAACTTTTTTTTTTTAATTGCGCTCACCTGCAAACTTTTATTTGTAGGTGATGGTGCTTTCGTTTTGCCTAAGTGATGCATCCACGTCACATGATCAATTGGGGAGGAAAATGAAACTATTTAATCTCTTATGATGCTTTTGAAATTGCTACTAATATTTAAGAATTAATGTGTTTTGAACATATTTTTGGCTTATGCTTGACTCGGGCCTTATTTAGTTTAAATGATAAGAGAGTACGCTTTAATTTTGAGTTTTTATTTACTTTCTTGTTGGGTATTTTAGTCTTAGCTCCACAACGTAAGTTTCGTTGGTTAATGAACAAGCCTCCCGGAGTGGCGTGGCCGTGATACTCCAGCTTGAGCCGACCGGGGTGTTACAGTTGGTACTAGAGCCTAGGTTAAAGGCTAATGTTTCTTGGTTAATAAAACTTAAAAGATTTTGGAATTTCTAAAATCAATTAGATCATGGATTTAGTCGGTTTGGGTACATTCATGGCATGCATTGCATTTTATGTTTATTTTGTGTGTTTATGTGCATTAGTTATGTTATTTGATTAGTAAGAGCTTATTAGGCCTAGTCTTGATTAGCATATGCCCCCCTAGCCGTGTTCGTCAGCCTCCTATGGCACCTGAGTTTGATGAATAGATTGAGAGTAAGAGATCCCAAAACTCTTAGCCTTCAGTTCAGGATCTCGTTCGACCTTCAGAACCGACATTGAAGTTCTTTCGTCAGTTCATGGGACAGTTCGATCAGCAGCCCCGGAGTGCTATGGATGCAATGTTACATCATAGTCCTTCGACTTTCACTGATCAGACAGACCCGACTATTTTAGGATAATGGTTGGATCGTTTAGAGATGATATTTGAGGTGGTTAGATGCCAAGAAGGAGAGAAGACTATGAAAGCCACGCATTACTTTAAAGGATTGGCCAAGAAGTGGTGGAATAATGAGAAAGCTTCCGAGAGCAACTTGGTCAGATTACCGTAGAATGCCTTTAAGGGGATAATAAGGTCGCATTTTTTTATCCCCTGCACCTTTAGAGAGCAAATGAGAAAGACTTTAGTGTCTTGCAAGGTAGTATGACGGTGGAGGAGTACTTCATGCGTTTTAATTAGTTGGCTGCCTATGCTCCGGATTTGGTGGCGAATGATCAATGTAAATTGATGAGATTTGTTGGTGGACTGAACCGGGACCTTCAGCAGTTCTTAGCCAGTTTCAGTGTGGTGACCCTCCAAGAGGCATGCAAGAAAGCAACAAAAATTTATCGGGCAAATCGTATATCGTATGATGAGTGGAGGAATGGAATACGCTGAGGAGATAGAGGGAAAGGGAAGGTGAATGAGTGATGGAAGAACCATCCACAGAAGGATCAATCAGAGAGGTTCCCGGGTGCACCTTATGCATCTCACCTTAAATTCACTCCTAGGAATTCGAGTGGTAGTCATGGCGTTCCGACTATTTGTGGCCGATGTGGAAATTTTCATCCAGGAGTTTGTTGTGATGACCAATCCGTCATTTGTTATTACTGCCATAAGTTGGGGCATGTCAAGAGGTTTTTTCCTAAGTTATTTAGAGCTCCGCATGTGATTGAGAGGGCACCGACTCTGCAGCAGCAAGGTCGTATGCCGCTAGTGGCACCTCAGCGTCCGAGAAGAGGAGAAATGAGTAGTCAAAGGGGTCACATCAATGTCATGACGAGATGGCAAGCCGTGCAGAATTGGGGAGACGTCCTAACTAGTACATTCTTGGTGAATTCTTTACCTGTGGTTATTCTCTTTGATTCCGGTGCATCCCTTTCTTTATATCGAATAGATGTGCTAAGAAGCTAGAATTAGATTCTCGAGTAGAGGTTTCGGTAGAGATTAAGCTACCTTCAGGAGAGCTAGTGCCTTGTAATTGTCTTTTCATATGAGTGTCTATCGTGATCGGAAACATAGAATTTCCTACTAATCTTTTGAAGCTTAAATTGGCGGAGTTCGATATCATTTTGGGTATGGACTGGTTGGCTACCTATCAGGCACGAATAGATTGTGGTGGGAGGAAGATCTTTCTTTAGAGTCCTTACAGTGGAGAAGTTGTGTATGAGGAGATTCCTTGTCACCCATTGATTAAAATAGTGGTTGTTGTCTCTTTGCATAAGTTAACTCTTAAGGGTCATCCGTTGTTCCTTTGTGAGGTGCATGATGTTTTGGGGGATAAAGGTCAACTTTCGAACATTCCGGTGGTGAATGAGTTTGCAGATGTATTTCCTGATGAGATATCGGGGATGCCGCCTCACCGTGAGATAGATATCACGATTGATATAGTTCTAGGAGCAGAACCAGTGTCTAAGGCTCCGTATCGTATAGCACCAAAAGAGTTGGCCGAATTGAATGAGCAGTTTCGAGAGTTGTTGGATAAAGGGTATATCCAGCCGAGTAACTCTCCTTGGGGAGCACCTATTTAGTTTGTTAAGAAGGACGGTAGTCTTCGCTTGTGCATTGATTATCGAGGATTTAATCAAGTTGCTGTTAAAAACAAGTATCCTCTCCCAAAGATTGACGATCTCTTTGATCAATTGAAAGGAGCGAGGATATTTTCGAAGATAGACTTTAGGTCAAGGTACCATCATCTTCGAATTTTAGACGGCGATATTCCAAAGACAGCATTTCAAAATCGTTATGGGCACTATAAATGCGGAAAAATATATGAATCAATTTATTTTAGAAAACAAATATGTTTGTTTCATGGGATAAGATAGAGGAGATCCCTTGATTCATGGAATAAGATATAGGATAGTTTCGTTCAATATTTATTAAGATTTCTTAAGTCTTTACTATCTTTGCATCTAAGATGAAACAATTTTTTGAAAGAATTAATTTTCTTCTTTTCATTTGATTTTTCTATTCAAAATCTGAGAACTAAATAGTTTTTCAATACACGAGCTCATTAGAACAGCCTAGCAATAGAAGAATGTGTGAATAATTTTTAGTTTCCATAAAACACACACACGCAGATATTCTCAAGCATGTTTCTTCAAACTATTTCTTTATAGATTTGTTTTCAAGTATGATTTCCTTAGCATATTAAAAGAAAAAAAATTACTTCGTTAAAGTAAATAAATCTCCCATGTTTTTTAAACTATTTTTCCAAAAATGATCTCATTTTATATTGAAAGAGGATAAGACGCTTTAATTAAGATTCCCAAGTGGATATCAAAACTTATATTGGATGATTCATTTCCAATAATGAACAAAAGAGATGCCTGTTGGCCCATCTTAGTAATTGTATCTCATAAATCTTGTGAAGCTTTTTGGAAGAAATAATAATTTTGTATTATTGCGAGCCCATTGCTCTGTATGTTTTGTATGACAGGGGGTTTCATGCAATATTTTTTAAAATATAAGGGGGTGACATGCAATTTTTTAAAGTAAAATGGAAATTTACTGAGTTTTAAAACCACAAAGGGGTTTCATGTAATACTTTTTAAAGTATAAGGGACGTCATACAATTTTTAAAGTAAATGAAGGATTTAAGTTAAATTTCGAAACCACAAGGGAATTATAGGCAATTTTGTATTCTTTTTCGATGAGAAAAAGGCACAATTGAAGCACTATAGCTATCACCAAATAGAATGCTCTTCACTACTCCATTATCTCGTTTTAAAAAATATTCTGAATATATTGAGAAAGTATAAGGGGAACTCTCGGAGCATATAATAACTTGGTTGAATAAGCCTCGAGGAAGCTACATCAATATGAAAGCATTAGAAGTAGAGCATAACCGAATATAAAAGCCAGACTAGGCTAATGCTTCGATGAATGATGATAATGTATATGAGTGACACGACACTAGTACCTACAAATATCTGACGAATGTTGGTCACAGAAAAGGTAAAACAAAAAAGCATCTTTCTGCAGTGAATTTCTAAGTGTAGTACATCATTTTTCTATTCACAGAACAAAATAGATTATAGATGATGACAAGAAAGAAATCTTATAGCTGCAAGCAAATCAAGATACATATAAAAAATTAATAGTAAAACGAGGCAAGTTCCTTCTTTACTGGGTTTCCTCTTCTCTCATACTGAGCATGCTTTTCAGTGAATCCTCCATCCAGTCAATGGAATCCTAAACACAAACAGCACTATCAATTCATAATAAACAAAATCACAAAGCAATATGACCTGCTTCAAAGGAAGTTTCATATATATTTTCTCACATTGTATCATACAACTATAAAAACACTCTCTAGTAAAATCAGCAATTCAGAATATATAGACCTACAACTTTATGACACAGCATGTAATTAATTGGATAGATACAAGCTATTGAGAAGATGAAAAGTCAAGGTAAGAACATGCAAAGCACTAATAATAGCTATATAAGGTCAATGAAATCAAAAGGTCGCAGAACCAAATGATTGGATTATCGGTAGTTCTTAACCAGAAAACATTTTTCATAACATAAATTATGCGAAAGACACACACACAGTATAAATCATCTCAATTCAGCCATTGGTTTCCTCTCAAGTCTCAAGTAAATCAACAATGTAGTCATACTTATGTAAGATTCTTTGCTCCCATTATTCGCTTTCCTCCTTCAAGTTTCCCGTAATCTAAAAACTATCCTTCCATTGGACTTCGTGAGCAACAAAATTTTGCTCACACTGCCCATAGCTGATGTCCGCCAGTCATCAAGTAAAATCGCAGTTTCTATATCAGAGACTAGGACTTAATGACATTGTTTGGAGACAGTCTTTGATCGATAACAGGCATGTTCTGAACACAATCAAGGACTCTTGTAAGTTCTCGGTGAACAAAATCCAGGCGTTCCCTGGTGATGAATGATTCTGAAAATAAATTTGCAGCAAGGGAATGAAAGGTTTGAGAACAATCATTCATGCTCTTTGCTATAATATGATTGTCAATCAGAATTAATGAACTTGCCAGTCGCCATCTGAGCAGAAAATACTTTTCTGGTATTTGAAAATAGTTTTTAACAAGAAGCACACGAAGGGCATGTCTGCATAATATACCAGAATGCTCAAATTCTTTGCAAGAGCAATGGATCTGCTCATCATCCGGAGTCCAAATTACATGTTGTTCTCTTTCCATTTTCCTGTAGTGCCTCACAAGATATAAGCCACTAGACCTTTCTGTTACAGCATACTGCATGGACAATACAAATTCGTTCTGCAATGCACGAAATGCAAAGGGTGTGAGGACAGTCCGAGCATCCTCCTCTAAGGGTAGGCAAGTTTTTGTTGGCAAATACAAGAGTTCTCCCATTTTCCCACTCAAAAAGTGTGCAGCATCACCAACCTACTACAAGTAATAAAGAAGTTAATATCAGAGCAACACAGAGGATAAAAACTCTTTATTAAGTTAAAAGACAAAAAAAATACCTGTTTGAAAAAGCACTGCAACGAGGACTGCGTGCTCATAATATTATTTGAGAATGCCTCTACTGATTTGAAAAACTCAACTGTTGTAACACGGGCTAAGAAGAAGTTACGAACATAGCAAAATGGCCATGATGCTTGGTAAGAAAAAAGGAGAGATATGTGCTTATCTGTATCAATTCCAAACTGAGTAACAAGATCATTCCACTGATGCTCAAAATCTCCCACATTTTCAAGGTTACACAGCGTATCAAATTTAGATTTAAAGTCTGTATATTGAATACCAAGTTGGAGGGAGAACCAACTGCTTATTTTGGAAAGAACATGCCACATACATATAATTTGCTTAGTTTTTGGCATCTCAATCACAAGAGCATCCCTTAGACCTGAATCCATATCAGTGACAACAATCTGCGGCCGTCTTCCTCTCATAAACCTAACAATGGCCTGGAGAAGATAGAATTATAAAAACAATCAACTACTAATATATACATATACATTATGGCCAAAAAGGTAGTGCACATGCACCTGTAATGCCCAGGAAAATGACTTTGATGTCTCATCTTGAAGTAAAGTACACCCAAATAAAACAGGTTGCCCGTGATTGTCAATTCCAAACCACATGCTAAGGATCATATTATAGGAGATGGAACGGTACGAGGTATCAATATTAACGACATCCCCAAAGAGTGAAAATGCCTGAATGGAGAATCCATAAGTCCACACAATGTTTTCAACTTTTCCACTGTCATCTGTTGTGAAAGTATAGACAAAACCTTCATCATTTTCACTTGCCAGCTTGCGCGCCTCAAGAAGTTCTAGCAGATCATTCTCACGCATCATAGCTAGCATTGAATCATTGTCTTGAACAGTTTTCTTACATGATCTAACAAAGTTTCTAACATCTTTCTCTAGAAAGGGTAACTGCCCTGGTTGGACCCCTTTTTCCAATTCAAGCACCTTCACAATTCGATTAACAGGAAAACCAGCCTTTGAAAGAAGAAGTATACGCTCTTGATCAGCCTCATCTATCTTCCTATAGGCAGGAAGCAGCCGAACTTGATCATCTTCCAACAATTCATGGTTGTGAACATTACTGAACTGAGAAACATACCACTGTATCACATCAGCAGCAATCTCTTTAGTCAAGTACAACTTTGCATCACATCCACATCGTACTGATTTCCTCTCCCTAGGGTGCTCTACATTAGCCCTTTTCCTTGGCTGATTAAATCCAGAACGGTAGCACACAAAATCCCTTCTGTAAACACCCAAACTTTGGCTTTCTGTTGACCGTGCTTTCCTAATGGAAAACCCATTCCTCCGTGCAAAGCTGCTGTAGTATTCGAATGCATCATCATCGTTTTTGAATATCTGACCAATATATGGAGTAAAAACAGTATCTTGCGACAATGATGGGATTTCACTCTTCACAGATTGTGATGCTTTTGCGCTTTGATCATCCCCATCATATTTAATGTAACACTTCCAATCTCCACAAGGGCACTGCTGCCTTCTAACCCATATGTTCTGCAGCGGCTTCACTGCCATCAAATCCACTGAAATATCCAGAGCCAATCACAAGCATCCAAGCCAGCTTTTTATACACCTTTCAAGCTTCAAATTGAAACCAATAGGATCAACAAGAGAAAAATAGCATAAACCTTAAAAGAAAGGCAAACTGAAAATTGCATTACCATATTAAAATAACAGAACCTAAACATCATTCATTTCATAAACAAGCAGTTTATGCTAAACGCCAAACCATATTTTAAATGTTAATAATCAGCCAAAAGCATCCATACACACGCGTCCCCCCCCCCCCCCCCCCCCCCGCCCCCCCAGTACCCATAAACATCAACATAAACCAACATCTCCCATTGACAATTTATTTATAATAAAGGTTTTTCAACATGAAAAAACTAGTTATGAATCAAACTTTTATTTTCACCTTAACTCTACCCACATTTCATTTCTCATCACAGCTCCTTAACTCTACCCACATTTCATTTCTCATCACAGCTTCATTCATAAATATTTCAATTTACTACTTCGGATGTTAACTGGAAGTGGGAAAATTTTCAAACGCAACCATTCAATTCAAAACCAAAGATAGCTGCGCCAAAAGACATGAACTGAAAACCAAGTAATCACAACTCAGCCCACTCGAAATAGACTGCCAAACAAACTTCAAAATAAATACTACCACGCAGATAACATGCTTCCTTGATCTTCCCATAGTGCGAATCATCGAAAATTTTCGAAGCCACAATCCAATTGAGAGACGAATGGACATTTAGCGCGAAATAACTATATAGAAGGCGCGGTTAATCACCTGAATTTGACAGATTTTCCGCAAACTGTAGAATAAGGATCAAACCTTCGTGGCCTCACATTCCGTCCGCATTGGATGTCTGATTCTCCGTGGATTTTTTCAAATATTTGACCGAAGGCTTCTGTTCTGTTCTGTTCTGTTATGCTGTCTTCTGATTGTAATCGACTCAATGATTTGCGTTGTCAGATATGTACCCGGAAGTTCTCTCTTACTTGCTCCTTTTCTTTATTTGTTGGGAGTGTTCTTTCTATATATTTCTCTCAATTAATATACTATACATTATTATTTTTATATTATTTATATGATTTAAAAATATATATATATATTCATTTTTAATCATTTTACAAAATAAATACAAATAATAAATAAATATAACAAATGTTAGAATTAACTTTCACACACAGACACAAACAAAAAAAAAATTATGTAGTTAAATCGATAGTAGGGTGGAACTCAAAGCCAGGGGAGCCCTCTTGCCCAAAAATGTATATAATATATTCTTGTATTTGTGATATATATTTGTTACGTACGAAATTTAGAATTAGGTTAAAAGCCCAAGGTAAAAAGGAGAATGGGCCTGGCGATAGAGTTGGTTGAACTGGCTGAGGGATACCGTGGGGAAATCAAGGAAATATATAAGACTTCAGGTCGGAAGGTCCTCAAGACGGAAAGACCTCAAGGCGGAAGGTCTTCTGGTCGGAAGGTCCTCAAGACGGAAAGACCTCAAGGCGGAAGGTCTTCAGGTCGGAAGGTCCTCAAGACGGAAAAACCTCAGGTCGGAAGGTCCTCAGGTCGGGAGGTCCTCGAGACGGAAAGTCATCAGGACGGAAGGACCTTAGGTCGGTAGGTCCTCAAGACGGAAAGACCTCAGGTCGGAAGGTCTTCAGGTCGGGAGGTCCTCAGGACGGAAAGACCTCAGGTCGGGAGGTCTTCAGGTCGGTAGGTCCTCAAGACGGAAAGACCTCAGGTCGGAAGGTCCTCAGGTCGGGAAGTCCTCAAGACGGAAAGTCATCAGGACGGGAAGTCCGCAGGTCAGGAGGCCTTCAGGTCGGGAAAAGGAAGAAAGTTAAGATCTCAAGAAAAAATCCAGACCGAAGTCGGGCAGACGCGGAGGTCTGTCAAGAAGAAGGTCGGGTAAGGAAGAGGTACGGACAGACGCGGAGGTCTTCGGTCAAAGACGGAGGGCGGCTGATGTAGAGGTCGGCCCAAGTGAGGTCGGGCGAAGAAGCAGGTCGGGCGAAGGACGAAGTCGGGCCAAAAGAGCGGAAGGTCTGTGGTCGGCTCAAAGAGTGAAATATAGGGATAATTTTGGTCTGCTGGGGACACGTGTCAGCATGAGAAGGGTTGGAAGACGGTTGGGAAGGAGACGTTGTAACCGTTCGGGTGACGGTTTTCAGTACGTTTTCTTCAAAGAATATTTAAGGATTTGGATCATCATTTGGCAAGGCATCTTCAATCAACTTCAACAAAGCAAAGTCAGATTCGGGGATCACCACTTTAAATTTCAGTCTTTTATTTTCCAGTTTATTTACCATACAGTGTTTAGAGATTCCTAATCTCAGGCACTAATTAATCAAGTTTAAGGATATTTTCTATATCTTTGAATTTTACTTTATTTTTGTTGAAAAATTACATCAACAAATTGGCGACCACAGTGGGAGCAAGACAAAATTGCTCATTCCAATTCCGGCGATAATTTCATACGTCTAAGATCCGGCCGTATCATCGGAAGGGTCCATATGGCAGGTTCACAACCTCAATCATCTTCGGCACCGGTGGGAGAATCCGTTCCACCACCTATTGTGCCAAATGCCGGGGAAATCCCACAACCACCAACGGACTGGTGGTCCTATGTTCAACAAATGAACAACCAGCATACCTTGGTTATGCAGAATATGTTGCGTGAGCAACAAACGAACATGTTGCGTGAGCAACAGAGTCTGATGCAGAACTTGATAGATCAAGCACTCTCAAGGGTTAGTCTTCAACCCACTCAAACGCCACCAGGAGTGTCACCGTCCAGACCACAGGCAAATTTCGCAGGGCCATCATTCGTGGATAGTACATTCCCAAGTGCCACAAATCCCAACCGAATGGATAGGGGAAAATCTCCTTTGACTTTTCCCAACAATGTTCCACTGGGACCAAGGGTTACCAATCCGCAGTCGAACAATACAAGGGAGGACAGGCCTGAAGGATATATACATGATCCTATTCATATTCCTGTGCAGGATCCGTTCCATGTTCCTGATCATCAACGCTTTCATGTAGATCCTGATGAGATTGCACATATACTAAGGGATCAGTATGGATTAACTCCTCAGATGGCTAACCGCCCCGCATATCAGAGACCTTTCCCAGAAAGGATCATTAATGAACACCCTCTCCCAAGGAATTTTCGACCACCCGATTTTCATGCATTCTCAGGGGAGGACGGATCTTCCACCATAGAACATGTTGGTCGATTCACAGCACAACTAGGAGAAGTTGGCAATAACCCTTTTTATAAGTTACAGCTGTTTGGTTTATCTCTTACTAGAACGGCGTTTTCGTGGTTTGTAAGCCTGCCTCCTGGACAAATTCAGACATGGGAAGGACTGGAGATGGCATTTCACGCTAGATTCTTCAATCCTTTACCAGTTGTTTCTTTAACTGATTTACTAGAATTGAGACAGTTTCCAGAAGAATCTGCTTCACAGTTTATAGAAAGGGTGCGATTGATGAAAGGACGATGTCCTACGGTAATCAGTGAGAAAGAGATGACCAATTTAGTGGTCCGGAATATGCATACTCGTTTAAGAAAGGCACTCACTGCCCTGGATGTTGAGGATTTGGCAAGTCTTGCATCCAAGGCGGGACGTTTAGAGTCCTTGTTTAGAGAGGAAGATCAGCATAACAGGCGTAATAGAGGCCAACATATGGCGAGTATGGGAACAGAAACATGTGACTTTGATTTTAATCAATCAGAAGAGATGGCAGCCGAAATCCTTTCTGGAAAACCTTATGTGTGCCCTAAATTGAAGCCAGTACCAGGATCTGAAGGAAAGGAGCAACCGACTTTTGATAGTTCGAAAGCTGATGAAATCTTTGATATCCTACTGACTGATGGGCAGATCCGCATTCCAAAGGGGCAAAGATTGGCCACTAAAGAAGAAATCAAAGGGAGACCATATTGTAAGTGGCATAATTCTTTCACACACAATACAAGTCAGTGTACTCATTTCAGGAAGGAAATTCAAAAGGCAATCAAGACAGGTCGGCTCAAATACATCACTCTAGGTGTAGACCAGCAACCGTTTCCGAAAGTAACAACGGCAATGGTTGACATCCAACCAAGTTCGGAAACAATGAAAAGTTCGGCCAATGATGGACACACAAGGGAACGAACGCAGGCAAGCCCCGAAACAAAAAAAGGAAGTCGGCCAAACAGTGGCCGACCGGAAGAACGACTCAAAGTTTGTGAGAAACCAGTCGCTGAAAAATGGGACCGTCCAGACGGTTCTTTTACTGTGGAAGTGAAAGAAAAGGTTTTAGCGCGTGACCACCCGACCAGAAAAACAGGATCAGTCGGGAACAATTGGGCTCGAAATAAAAAGCCTTTACCAGTTGATATAGATCCTCGTTTCCCAGGTATGAATCGTACACAGATTCGCAATGCCAAACGCAGGTATGCTGCAAAGTATGGGAAACGAGTTCCTTCAGCAAAACGACTAACCGACGAACAAAAAGCAGCCGACCGCTTGGCAGGAGATCAGTCTATTAGAGTCTTTACAGAACAAACGACTAACGAGCAGGGAGCAGTCACTCAATCTCCAAAAGGTCGGTCCAGTCGGGTCTGTTCAGGAAAGCAACCGAATGACGGATTAGGCGCTTCCGACTATGCCAAAGGAAGTTCGTCGGGACTGAGGAAAGGTAATGGGATGACAGATGAAATAATTAAAGGTTTTAGATGCCAACATTGTGAACGGATCAACATCAATCCATCTCTTGAAGAATTCCGTATTGAATCTTTGACGGTTCAATCTCGGGATAAGACAAAGGAAGAAGTAGTAACTACAGAGGAAAGTTCAAGATCTGTTAAATCTCGTCTGGGACCACGAATCCCTTGTCGAATGACAGAGATTAATCAGATGAGTGATGAACCGATGTGGGCGAGTCTGGTAGATGATACTATGGACGAACCTTTATGGGCATTCTTGGCAGATGGTGAATTAGAGGAAACAGAGTGGGCAAAGACCTCAGATTCCGACCCTCAGGCGGAAACACCTTCGATTGTGTTTCCTCCTATTCCAGAGGGTGCGATCTCCCATTTGAAACCTCTGTATGTTAATGCTCATATTTGTGGGAAACCAATCACAAAGGTTTTCGTGGATAATGGAGCAGTCTTTAATGTTATGCCATTGAAGACCCTCAAGAAGTTAGGGAAAGGAATTCATGATCTGTCTCCTGTGGAATTCGAAATGACAAGTTTTACAGGGCAGCCGACCAAGCCGGAAGGCATGATGGTTGCCACAATTGAAGTCGGACCAAAGAAGATCTCCACTGTTTTCTTTATTGTGGACGCAGATACTACATACTCTCTCTTGCTGGGAAGAGACTGGATTCATGCCTCTCAATGTGTGCCATCAACCCTGCACCAACAATTAATGTTCTGGGAAGGAAATCAGGTCTTCAAAATGGAAGCGAATGACAACCCATTCGATGTATCAGAACAAGTTGAAGAGTCAGTGTTTTATTCCAGTCCTTTGGCTCCGATGTCTCAATTGTATATGGCCAGGGAATACCCAAACAAGGGTTATAAAGTCACTGGCCAGAACTCGATGTTCTATTAAAAGAACACCTTTATTGTATGGCTCATGATAAAGCCACACCCATTCCCATATAATTTGTTTGTCATGGAAGATACAAGTTTAGAAGTATGTAGTTCTCTTATTAATAAGTTCTATTTAAAGCAGTTATTACATAAAGCAGAAAATAGTAAAGAGATTCTGGATGTTCACCTCCAAGAAGATGAACAATTTCGTTGGCCCGACTTATTAGAAAAAACAGAACCAACAGCTTCATCACAAGACCCATTATTGGAGTTTAATTTAGGAACCGAATTGGTTCCAAAAGTGATCAGGTTAAGTGGTTATTTGTCTAAAGAGCAACAAACAATGATGCTCGAAGTTATTAGAAACAACATTGATTGTTTAGCATGGGATTATTCAGA